GGAGGAGGAGGAGGAGGAGGAGGGAGGCGAGGAGGAGGAGGAGGCACCTTGATCATCTCCGGGTCCGCCTCTGTCTCCCCAGTCAGGAGATTCTTGGTCCTCCGGGTCCGCCTCTGTCTCCCCAGTCAGGAGATTCTTGGTCTTCTGGAACCGCCGCCGTTTGTATTTGTTGATCACTGGGAGGGAAAGAGGAGAGGTGAGCGCCCGCAGCCCCTCGTGGGGGGACCAAAAAGGGGAGGGGGTGCAGAGGGGGCCGTACTCCGTGATGTGTGCACCGTGGCGAGGCGCCTGTAGAGGTTCTTCTGCCGGGGGTCGGGGTGGAAGCCGCTCTTGGTGAAGTAGACGTGGATGTAGATGGAGCCGTTCTGCTGGACGCTCTGGAACGGCCAAAAAAAAAAATAAAAAGAGAAAGAGAAAAAGATGTAAAACAGGCAGCCAAAAAAGAAAAAAATGATAAGAAGATGCAAACCAGGCAGCCAAAAAAAAAAAAAAAGACAAAAAGATGCAAAACCAGCCAACAGCATGTCTGGACAACAACACGTCTGTCTACAACAGAGCTTCCATGCTTCTGTGACCTTCAAGGACCTTCCCAACCCAACTGCTGTAGGATTTGGTGTTCCCATGACCCTCAAGCTCTCCTCCAACCCAAATGTTGTAGGATTCCTTGGTTCTGTGACCTTCAAGGACCTTCCCAACCCAACCGCTATAGGATTTTGTGGTTCCATGACCCTTAAGCTCTGCTCCAACCCAAATATTGTAGGATTCCCTGGTCCTGTGATCTTCAAGGACCTTCCCAATCCAACTGCTGTAGGATTTGGTGGTTCCATGACCCTCAAGCTCTCCTCCAACCCAAATGTTGTAGGATTCCATGATTCTTTGACCTTTAAGGACCCTCTCAACCCAACCACTGTAGGATTCCACGGATCTACGATCTTTAAAGACCCTTCCAACCCAACCGCTGTAGGATTTGGTGGTTCCATGATCCCCAAGCTCTACTCCAACCCAAATGTTGTAGGATTCCGTGATTCCTTCACCTTTAAGGACCCTCTAACCCAACCACTGTAGGATTCCCTGGTCCTGTGACCTTCAAGGACCTTCCCAACCCAACTGCTGTAGGATTTGGTGGTTCCACGACCCTCAAGTTCTCCTCCAACCCAAATGTTGTAGGATTCCCTGGTTCTGTGACCTTCAAGGACCTTCTCAACCCAACCGCTATAGGATTTTGTGGTCCCATGACCCTCAAGCTCTCCTCCAACCCAACCGTTGTAGGATTCCCTGGTCCTGTGATCTTCAAGGACCTTCCCAATCCAACTGCTGTAGCATTTGGTGGTTCGATGACCCTCAAGCCCTGCTCCAACCCAAATGTTGTAGGATTCCATGATTCTTTCACCTTTAAAGACCCTCCAACCCAACCACTGTAGGATTTTGTGATTCTTTGACCTTTAAAGACCCTCCAACCCAACTGCTGTAGGATTCCTTGGTCCTGTGACCTTCAAGGACCTTCCCAACCCAACTGCTATAGGATTTGGTGGTTCCACGACCCTCAAGCTCTCCTCCAATCCAACTGTTGTAGGATTCCTCAGTCCTACAACCTTTAAGGACCCTCCCAGCCCAACCACTGTAGGATTCCTTGGTTCTGTGATCTTCAAGGACCTTCCCCCCTTATCACTGTAGAATTTGTTGGTTCCATGACCATTAAGCTCCCCTCCAACCCAATCATTGTAGGATTCTTTGGTCCTATGACCTTTAAGGACCCTCCCAGACCAACCAGTATAGGATTCCATGCTTCTACGACCTTTAAGGACCCTCCAACCCAACCGTTGTTGCACCCCACGGCTTTATCACCTCTAAGGTGTCCTCCACCCAACTGCTGTAAGATTTGGTGGTTCCATGACCCTTAAGCTCTGCACCAACCCAACCGTTGTAGGATTCCCTGGTTCTGTGATCTTCAAGGACCTTCCCAACACAACCACTGTAGGATTCCTTGGTTCTGGGATCTTCAAGGACCTTCCCAACCCAACTGCTGTAGGATTTGGTGGTCCCATGACCCTCAAGCTCTGCTCCAACCCAAATGTTGTAGGATTCCGTGATTCTTTGACTTTTAAGGACCCTTCCAATCTAACCATTATAAGATCCCATGTTTTTTTTTTTTTTTTTTTTAATCTTTAAGGATGCTTTCAACCCAACCATTTTAGGATCTTGTGGTTCTATGACTCCAAGGTCCCTTCCACCCCAACAATTTCATAACCCCACAGGTCTACGACCTTCAAGGACCCTTCCTATCTAACAATTATAGGATCTCTTAGTTTTATTATTCTTAAGGACCTTTCCAACCTAACCGCTGCAGAATCTCATGACTCTATGACCTTTAAGGACACTTCCAACCTAACTGTTTGAAGATTCCATGGTTACATGTTCTTCACGGACCCTTCCACCCCAACCATTGCAGAATCTCAGTATTCTATAATCTCTAAAGACCCTTCCACCCCAACCATTGCACAATCTCGTGACTCCATGACCTTTAAGGACCTTCCCCCTCCAATCATTCTGGGATTCCACATTTTTTTTTTTTCCTTCAAGGACCCTTCCACCTCAACCACTGCACAATCTCATCACTCTATGACCTTTATGGAGCCTCCCACTCCAACCATTGTGGGATTCCATGGTTCCATGACCTTTAAGGACCCTTCCACCCCAAACACTGCAGGACCTCATGATTCTACGATCTTAAAAGACCCTTCCAACCCCACTGTTTGAAGATTCCGTAGTTCTATGATCTTCAAAGACCCTTCCACCCCAGTCGTTGCACAATCTCATGATTCTATGGCCTTTAAGGACCCTTCCAACCCAACTGTTTGAGGATTCCATGGTTCCACGATCCTCAAAGACCATTCCACCCCAACCACTACAAAATCTTGTGATTCTATGACCTTAAAGAACCTTCCCACCCCAATCATTCTGGGATTCCATGGTTGCACGATCTTTAAGGACCTTTCCACCCCAACCACTACAGAATCTCATGATTCCATGATCTTCAAAGACCCTTCCGCCCCAGTCATTGCACAATCTCATGATTCTATGATCTTTAAGGACCCTTCCACCCCAACCGTTACAGAATTTCACGATTCCATCACCTTTAAGGACCTTCCCACCCCAATCTTCCCACCCCAATTCTGGCATTCCACGGTTCCACGACCTTTAAGGACCCTTCCACCCCAACCACCGCCAAACCCCCTGGTTCCACGCCCTCTAACCTCCACCCCAACCCACCTGTGAGATGTCCACCTCCCCGTAGTGTTCATAGCACCCGTCAGCGTTCTCCCCACTGGTCCAGTCCCCGTACACCAGGTCCCGTTTCTGCCAGAACAGCGCGGAGCTGACGTTGAAATCTGTAAAGTGCTCGTGCTCCGAGATATAAACATAGAGGTCCTGTGGGGAGAGGATGGTGGGACGTCACACCTCCCAACACGACGTTTCCCCCTCATCTCCTCCCCCCCAAAAAAAATCACCTGGCCCTCGAAATTACCATTAAAGTGTCCTTGGGGAAGAGGTTTCGGCTGGGGGCTCGCGGCGTTCCCCCAGCACTGCTCTGCTCCTGCGGGGCCGGCCCGCGGCGGAACCAGCTGCTGATGGCCCAGATGATGAAGATCCTGCAGGAGAAAAGACGGGGAGAAGCGTTGCAGCACCCCAAAAAAGCATCAAAACGCCGTTTTCCATCCCAAATCAACAGGCAGTCAGCTCTCGGCCCCTTCCACGCCAGAACTGAGAGATCACTGGAGAAAACGAAAAGGAATTCAGCCTTTTCCTGATTCCTCAGACCCTTCCACATCATCTCTCGACATAAATTTGAGAGCATATCAAAAAACCAAGTATTTCCTTCACTTCCCAGACCCGTTCGTCCCATTTCTTTGAGGTAAACTGGGGGAACTTGGAAAGAAATTTGGCGTTCTCTCGACTCCCCAGACCCTTCCATCGTCTCTCCTCAAACTGAATTCCTGCACGTTAAACAAAATAGAGCTTTTTCTGAAGGCCTCCTGCTGGTAGAGCTAAAGCTGAAGGGTTTCCATCCATTTTTCTCTGTGGGGAGCAGTGGGAAATCCCCTCTCCAAAGGATTTCCATCCATTTTCCTCCGTGGGAAATGCCCTCTTCGAGCCGAGGAATGCTGCTGGGAAAATCCAACAGCTCCAAGGATGGAACCAAGTGCCAGCAGAGCATCATTTCATGGGGTTGGCATCACTAAATTGGTCAGGAGTAACCCAGCATCCCCCCATTTCCCTTCCAGGGCTTGGGATCCACGCGGAACCAAAATCCTTTTGGCACACACAGAGGTTTCATTGCCCACTGCTGTGTCTGAACTCCCAAAGGCAGCGCTGCTGTTGTCCCCTGCTGGGAGGTGACACCAGGAGGTGACACCAGGAGGTGGCAAAACGTCACGGAGGCTGAACCCATGGCATGAATGGACTTTGCCTCCTTGTTCCTGGGAGGGGAAACGGGCAGCACCGGCCAACGCCCGTCACACAGGGGCTGAGAAATGGCTCACAAAGGAGGTACAGAGCCACTGGGGGGGGGAAGGGGGGACAGGCAGGACAGCGGGGGCTGGTGGCTCTCGTGTCATATGGGGATGGCCCTATGGTGACAGACAGCAGGGGGGATTTAGGAACGTCCTGTGGTTGGGGACAGGTGACACGGTGGGGCTGATGTCCCTCGTGTCATTTGGGGACAGTTCTATGGCATGGGGACGGGTGACCCCTGTGCTCCCGGGGTGGCTCACCCTGTTCTCAAAGTGCCCCACAGACCCCATAGATCCCTCCACGCTCCATAGAACCCTGCAGGCCCCACAGAGCCCTCCTGTGCCCATAGACCCCTCCAGGCCCCACATGGGCCCCATACATATTTCCAGGCCCCACAGACCCCCAAAGATCCCCATTAGACCCTATAGATACCTCCAGACCCCACAGACCTTTACAGGCCCCACAGATCCCCCCAGATTCCATAGACCCCTACAGATCCCCATAGATACCACCAGGCCTCCACAGATCCCCAAAGACCCCACAGAACCCGTCCAGACCCCATAGATACCCCCAGGCCCCACAGACCCCCACGCTCCCCCGCCCCAGGCCCCGCAGCCCCCCGCAGGCCCCGCTCACCTGAACAGAACCCCCTTCAGCACCTGCCAAGCGTTGGGCGCCGGCTGCTGCCGCTGCGTCTCACCCGCCGCCGCCTCCCCTCCGCCGTTGCTGGTGACCTACGGGGCACCGAAGCTCGGTCGGGCCCCGGCGCAGCCGCTCGGCGCCCCCCAAGCCCCCCCCATACCTGCCCAGGGCCCGGCGCGGGCCCCACGGCCGCCTCCTCCCTTCCCGGCGCCGCCATTTTGTTTCTCAGCTCTCGCGAGAGCCCGGAAGCGGGCGGTGTTTGGGGGGGGGCGAGATGTGGGCGGGGCCACGCCTGTTGCCAATAGGCCGGCGGTGGGAGCGGAGCCGGGGGGGCGTGGCTTTGCGGAGGGGGCGTGTTTACGCGGCGGGGGGCGTGGCTTTTTGCGGAAGTGCGTAATTTACGCGAGAGGGGCGTGGCTTCTGAGGAGGGGGTGGTTTTACCGGGGGCGGGGGGGCGTGGTTTACAAAGGAATGGGCGTGGTTTCGGGGTTAGTGGGCGTGGTTTAGCATAAGAGGCGTGGCTTAGACTACGGGGGCGTGGTTAAAGAGAAGGGGCGTGGTTTTAAAATGAGGTGGGCGTGGTCTGGGCATTAGGGGCGTGGTTTAAACGAACTTGGCGTTGTTTCCTCTATGTGGGCGTGGCTTTTATGATGGGGGTGTGGCGTAAGCTATGGGGGGCGTGGTTTATGAAAGTAGGCATGGTTTACGCGAGAGGGGGCGTGGTTTAAGCGACGGGGCGTGGTTTGAGGGAAGGGGGCGTGGCTTCGTTAAGGCGGATGCGATTTGACGGAAGTGGGCGTGGTTTGCGCGAGGGATGGGCGTGGCCTCCGCTATGGGGGCGTGGCTTTGGAGAGGGGTTGTGTTTTCAAGCGAGGGGCGTGGCTTAATGGAAGTGGGCGTGGCTTGTCCCCCGCGGGGGGGGCGTGGCGATGAGAACGGAGGGGTTTTCCCGCCCCGCCCCCCCCGCGTCGTGACGTCATCCGGCGACAGCCAATGGCGGCGCCGCCCGCGCGGGGATTTCCAGCGGCGGCGGCCGCGCGGTGTTGGGGGGTCCGGAGGGGGCGGCGGTGGAGGAAGAGATGGCGGCGCCGATCGGTGCGGG